GGTCATCAAAAACACCTCACGGTAAAGTTAGAAAACCTGTAAGTCATTTGAGAAAAATAAACTAGTGTTGCATTTAAATTTATCAAGCTTTAATTCCCTTCCTCTGTGTAGTCATTAGAGTTTGTCTTTTGATGGTTTGCATTTAACATCTAGAGATGTGTAAGGTTCTTGGGAATTATTTGATTAAATGTGATAATTTATTTTCTACTTCGAAATGGAAGACAAGATTTCATTAGAATGCTTGAAATTAATTATACTTTTACATGAAATACAACTCCCCTACATGGTTCAACCGTCAGGATAGGAGTTAGAAACTTTTGGAGAATTTTTGGCCACATCACTGTTTGTAAGGTTCTGCAAAATGATTGCAATTTAGTGTTTTCTTTTTTTTGCCCTATATCTAATTTACAAGAGTAATCAACTATTTCAAGATTGACACTTAATTCTTTTTTTTTTTTGGCAGTGATTCTAAGCATAGTGTTCCTATTTAAGCTTTCCATTGACAACCTTAAGTAGTGGTATTATTTTGAACCTCTGTTCTGATTATGTTTTTTCTTTTTCTTAGTAGTACTATTATGTGTGATAAACATACAACCATATTATGCGAAGATGATTATATCCTCTTCCCAAATGCTTGGGAACAACCGTATTCTTTGTTCATGAACTTACTTGTTCCCTTTAAATGCTTTTATCCCATGTGTTTTTGTTACGGGGATTACTATTTTGCTATGATATGTTTTGTTTGTTTCTTTCTTTTGGTGTATTATGCTCTCTCTTTGTTATAGCATGCTCAAGGTCGGCAATCGGCTATTGGTTAGCTAGAACTTGGCATACATCACAAAGCCTTAGTAGAGGTGGACTGGTAGAGGCAAGTATTTGATGTTGGCTACAGTCACATACAATATTCCTTTTGTGTTCATCATTCTTCAGCCGCATGTTATCCTTAGGTCTTTAGACTTCTTAGCTTTTATATTGTTCCGATGTTGTGTTTACTATGCTAAATGAAACTTTGAAAGCATTATTTTGGCTAATGGCACTTACCCCATCCCTTTCTTTGCAAGCTTGTGTCAGCAGGAGTGTATGTTGTCAAAAGAATATATAGGTGATTGTTTCATTTTTAGCACTTAGTTGATATAAATTATTAAGCTTGTATCGACAATGAGTTTTTTCTTATCATATATTTGCGTTCTACATAATAATTGTTCAACAGTTATAGGCCAGACATTCATAAGATATAATAGACTCGAGAGTAATGTTGGTGCACTTAGTGATTTTGTCAGTTTTAATGAATTGTTCAATAGTAAGATTTAACCAACATGTGTTCTTGTTTTCAAATTTCAATGTGGAACATGTAACCTTGTGTCATGCACTATTAATATTTGAGATATTTGAAATGTAATTGGCTCTCTCAGCCAATTCGGCGTGCCAATTCAAGTAAAACATGGATTTTCCCCCTTGATTGTTTGTATTGTATATTTTGTCCTCTTAAATAAATATTTTTCAATGTGGTATACAATTTTTAATTCATTTTTATCAAAATAAATCACGTGCAACGCACGTGTGCACCAACTAGTAAAATATAAAATTATGAAAGCATTCGATGTATATGTCGTTGGCAAGCCTAAAATCATTAAAGGATTGCACTATCGAAATTTGAAGAAAATGCGAGAATCAACCAGCCACAACCTTGGTTTGAAAGAGGAAATAATTGTCTTGGAGTTACGAAGCCAAATTATCATTATTAAGAGAAACCGTCAAGAGAAATGACTATAAAAGAGAAAAGGGAAGAATACAAAAGACAATTCAAACCCGCACAAGATCCACGATCAAGTCATTTAGGAGTAGTGTTAGAGTTAGGTTTTAGGAAATAGTTAGTACTGCAATTAAATGTTGTTAAATCAATCACCTTGTAATCGAAACTCACACAATGGAATTAATAAATATATATTTCTTTGTTATTTTAGTAATTTGTGTGTTTTGTCATCGAATCTTATCCAAGAAAATCATAAAACAAGGTAGTAAAACTCATCCACAAACAATTGCTTGTGAACTGCTGCTTGTCGATTGTAACAAATTTTTTGAGCAACAATCTTTTGGCACGCCTGATGGGACATCATTAATAATTTGTATCAAGGAAGATGGTGCTAACAAGGAAACAATACGAGATCATATTTGAGACTAACGAAACTGTGGAAATAACACCAATTGATTGCAATCATGAAGCAAGTTCGAATACCCATCCTGTGGAGTTTGCAAACCTAGCGAATGGCTAGTCCAATGGCCAAGAAAGTGTGCAACTGCAAGAGTTTGTGCAAAACTTGAAACATATATTGCACAACCCCAATTCTGGCACTATGCAATAGTCAGTTAATGACATGCATGAATTGTTGAATGTCTCAACACCACTATTAGGACCATTCAATCAAAAATTAAACATTATGACTAAAAATCAAGAAGAAAATGTCAGTCATGTGGTGTTTTCCCTGTAGAAAATCAAAGATCATCTTTAATAGTTATTTGTGAAAAACCAAGTCTTCCATATCAAAATTACTTTAATATGATGTTCGATGAAAAACCTGTGAAAGTCTTTCCCAAAAAAAAAAAAGTGAACCGAATTGTATTGGTGATGGATGGATGGCTATGTCAATGGATATGATTTTAATACCGATACAATTGAGAGATTCAAACAACAGGTCAACCTCAGGTTCATAAAAGCCAAAGAAAAAATTGAAATTATCATAGATCTTAGGAAATTGTCATAGTTTATTAGACAATTATATATATGATGCAAATAATATAAATATATCATCTTATTTTTATAGATTGAAAAGAAAAAGAAAATTAAAACTATTGACAGGGCTATCTAAAAATAATATTTTGGCTCCGTCCTTGTTGAAAAGGGATATAACTTAAAATTTTTTTGAGGAAGAGTATCACGCTCATCCATAATTAGTAAGACAAAGGTAAAATTTGGGATGTAATGATTTATGTTTCTCCCTCACGGGGTGACTTTGTTAATTGAAATATGTATCATATCTTAAGTTGACGGGTAATTCTTTAAAAGAATGACGTTGTCCCCAACCCTGGGACTAGCTCCCTAAAAGAGGGATTGACAAGGAACTGTTAAAGTTGATTAATTCATCTTTCATTCATAGTGTTGTCCCTTGTTTTGTGTCAGATTAAAACTAAATTTCTCAAATAATGTTAATATGTTTCTTTTTTCAAACTTTATTTTTTCAAATTTGTGCTACATGGAACTAAACTTCTTTTTACAAAATTATGTTTCAATTTGGTACACCTTCCTAACATTTAAAAAAAATTAGGGTATAATGAGAGATTTTTTTTAATATTTGAGGAGGTAAAATAAATAAGTTAAAAACTTTTGAATTCCCTTTAAAATTAGGAAAAATTACTAATAAGTGTTACTTTTCCCCCACAAAAATCTATTAAGTCCTATCATTTTTGTTTTATATCAATAAAATCCTATTCTTGATATTTGATTTCAATTAAGTCCTAAATTTCATTATATTCTAATTTTATCCTTACCCTTTAATTACCAAAACTCTTTCATTCTTTTGCATTCTTAAAACCAATTATGAGGATAAAAATTTCTTGCTTACAAAATTAATATCGAAACCCCTTAAAAAGACTCAGTTAACATAAATTTTATGGTACAATAAAAAAAACCTCACATTTTCATATTTTTCTTATCTCATTGGGATACCTAATCTTCAAAATCAAGACGATATATTTTGATTATTTAATAAAATAAAAAAATTTAAAAACTATCGATAATATTTGACAATTAATTCTATTTTAATGTCGTTATCGATTCAGACATAACAACTAAAATAAATTCTTAACTTAATCATTTTAAATCTAATATAAATTAATAGAATATGGTTTTGGTAAGAATTATTTTAAATTAATATTGATGTAGAATCTGTAATATTCTAGTAATTGATTCTAAGAATGTAAAAGAATGAAAAAAAATTTGGTAACCAAAGGTAAAGATAAAATTGAAATAAAATAGAATTAGGACTTTAATTAAAATAAAATATTAAAAAATAGGATTTTTTTTTTTTTTTGGGAGGGGGGTCAGATTAAAAATAAGATTTTATTTATATAAAATAAAAATAATAGGACTTATTAATAATGAATATTTGTAGAAAAAAATAATACTTATTAATAATACTATTTTTTCCTTAAAATTACCCACTAAACCAGCCGCCCTCACCATTCAAAGCGTAAAAGAAAAGGTCGTCAGAAAGACGAGAAAGGGAATTACACTCCATGGAAGTTGTACAAAGAAGAAGATGTCACTACTTTTTACCAGTCAAGGTGTAGAGAGAGAGAGAGGGGATAGTGACAATATAGATGCCTTTCTCCGCAATCATACAAACGGCTACCCTCCATCTCTTATAATTCTCTCTCTAAAATAATTTCCAGACGACATTCAATACCACTTCAAAATTGTCCCCTCCTCTCTCTCTCTCTCTCTCTCTCACACACACACACACACAGAGATATGTATTTATGTATGTACATATACACATTATTTATATCTGATATTTAATGTAAGGAGGTTAGAGGATGAAGAACGAAGACGACAAACAAATAAATGCAAGAATTGAACCAAGTCAAGGTCTTCGCGAATTGGTTCTTCATCTTCTTTGATATTTCCGTATAATATTTGCGTTTGCAAATATTTTTTTCCCCTGGACACTCATATATATGATTAAAAATTCCATCTGGGTGTTTTTATTTTGGGCCTAAAGTTACTTCTTCAATTGCAGTTCCTTGTTTGTGTCATTCTCTCTTCTCTCTCTCTCTCTCTCTCATCCTGTGTTTCAATCCAAGGCTGAATCAAACAAGCACAAACAAAAATTACCCAAATCTCAGTCGCTTCTAAACTGTTTTTTTTTTGTTTTTGATTTTTCTGTGTGTCAAGCAATCTGCTCATATAGAACACCTACTTTGAATTTGAAGGTGGTCCAAAAATGGAGGGTAAAAGCTTTTCAGAGGTGGTTTCAGAGCTACAATCATCGGCGGAGGAGGTTATTTCTCTGGCAAGAGATTCCGAAACAAGAACAGGGGTGTTAATAGAATTTTCGATCCTTGTTGAAAAATTAAGTCAACTGCTCAGTGAATTCAGGGACATCAAGCTCATAGACACACCTCCAAATCGAAAAGCAATGAATTCCCTTGAAACAGAACTCCAACGTGCCAAGGCCTTGATACGAAGCTCCAATTTTAGATCATCACCATTGAAGCATGTCGAAGATTTGACCCAAAATTTGGGAAGATCTTTGGGCCTTCTGCTCTTTGCTAGTCACGATTTGTCGATTTCTAACAAAGAAAAGATCGAGGAATTGCGGAAAGAAATGATGAACGCGAGGTTTAGTGAGGTTGAAACAGAGGAAGAAACAGCGGAAACAGAGGAGGAAACAGAGGATGAAACAGAGGAGGATGAAACAGAGGGGGAGACAGTAGGGGAGATAATAGAGGAGAAAGTAGGGGAGATAGTAGAGGAGAAGATTACTTTGAATAGTGATGATATTGTTCTGAAGCTTAAGTATGGTAATGATGAAGAACTTAGATGCGCGTTATCGGGGTTCAATATGTTATTTAGGGATAATATGATCACAAATGAATGGATTGATAATGAAGGGATTGTCGCGGTTTTGTTTAATCGATTGGCTTCAAGTAAGCCTAACAATAGGTTGATTATAATTCAAATACTCAGAAGCCTTGTTACAAACAATGAGGAAAATAAGGTAAATTGGATACTAATTGCATTCTTTGTCGAGACTTTTATATATTCATTGTTATGTCTCTTAAACTGTCTAGTGATTTGCAGGGAAAAATGGCAGATATTGGATATTTAACGCCGTTGGTAAAGTCATTAGCACGGGATGTGGATGAGCAAAGGGAGTCGGTGGGGTTGTTGTCGACTCTCTCAGATGTCTCCGCAATTAGGAGGAGGATCGGAAGAATTCAAGGGTGTATAGTTATGTTGGTGGCGATTCTCAATGGAGGTGATCAAGTGGCTTCACATGATGCAAGGAAGTTGTTGAATGCTTTGTCAAGCAATACTCAAAATGCTCTTCATATGGCAGAGGCTGGTTACTTCAAGCCACTTGTACAGTACCTTAAGGAAGGTAACTTCAAAAGCTTTATTTCAGTTTCTCTCATGCTTTTGATTCGATAACAACTCCATTTTATGGTAGCCTCACTAGATTGAATCGTGACCCTTTGGTAGTAACTTTCAGCGTGGTATAGAAAAGTACGTCTTGGATGCTAAAGCTTACCCTGCTTTTCATAGATAGTCATACCGGTTTACTTAAGCACATTGTCATAGGCATGTGGTTTAGCACTGTGACCAATTTCTTTGTGATGAACAAGTTGAAAACTGTGTAAATATGCTTCATGAGTTTATATGGATAAGAATTCAAACATTGTTTTATTGATTGGTATTAGTCTTGCACCCCTTGAGCCAAAATTTATTGTGGGTATTTGTGCAATTTTGATGTATGGAACCAGGTCTTTTGCACATTCTTCTCAAATGGTATTGGTTAGGTACTAGTCTTTTAATCAACCAGCAGTGGTACTTCTTGCTCTAGAAATATAGAAAGACCAAGTGTTTGACAAAATTATTTTCAGGTTCGGTTCTTAATCATCATATAGTTATGGCTATCTGAATGTTTCCTGAATTGAAAGGTGCATTCAGCTTTTTTGTTATTTGCGAGAAGAGATCCAAGATTTCTTTGGTTTTGTGAATCTGAACCAAGATCCTTGGTTTGCGGGTTCTTTTTTTTTTTTTTTTTTAATGTCAATTTTTTCTATCCTAGTAAACTCCCTTTTACCAGAATCAGATTCCAATCTATGTTGGCCTCCCAAACTTTTAGGTTTCAATTGTGTAATCAAAACCTCATTACCATGTATTGGCAGGTTCTGACATGGGTAAGATTCTCATGGCAACTGCACTTTCAAGGATGGAGCTAACAGATCAAAGTAGAGCTTCCCTTGGAGAAGATGGGGCAATTGAACCTCTTGTCAAAATGTTCAACACTGGGAAGCTTGAATCCAAATTATCTTCTTTAAATGCGTTGCAAAATTTATCCAACTTGAGAGAGAACACCCAACAATTGGCTAGTTCAGGCATTGTAGTTTCTCTGCTTCAGCTCCTTTTTTCTGTGACATCTGTGCTCATGACTCTCCGGGAACCAGCCTCTGCCATTCTTGCCAAGATAGCTGAGTCTGAGTCTGTCCTCGTTAACCAAGATGTGGCTCAGCAAATGCTCTCACTTCTCAATCTGTCAAGTCCAGTAATCCAGTTTCACCTCTTACAAGTACTAAATAGCATTGCAGCCCACTCTGCTGCATCAATAGTCAGAAGAAAAATGAAAGAAAATGGTGCAATTCAGCTTCTCCTACCATTCCTAGCAGAAAATAGAACTAATATTAGGACTGGTGCCTTAAATGTAATTTACACTCTCTCTAAAGATCTACAAGGAGACCTGACAGAACAATTAGGAGAAAACAATCTGAATTTGATTGCGAGTATTATTTCATCATCAGCATCTGAGAGTGAAAAGGCTGCTGCTGTTGGAATCCTGAGCAACATTCCGATAAGCGATAAGAAGGCCACAGATATACTTAAGAAGGCTAATTTAGTGCCTCTTCTGGTCTCTATCATGAGTTCTAGCCCTGCAACTTCAACATCTACCACAGTATGGATGGCTGAGAGCATTGCAGCTATATTCGTTCGATTTACAGTTTCTTCTGATAAAAAACTGCAACTTTACTCTACTGAACATGGGGTGATTCAGGTGCTTGTGAAATTACTCTCGAATGGATCCCCAATTGCTAGGTCTAGAGCTGCAACATCACTAGCTCAATTGTCACAGAACACATTGTCCCTTAGAAAATCAAAAACACCAAGGTGGTTGTGTGTTTCTCCTTCTGTTGATGGATTTTGTGAAGTCCACGACGGTTACTGTCATGTCAAAACCACATTTTGCTTAATCAAGACAGGTGTTGTTTCTCCATTGATCAAAATTTTGGAAGGTAACGAGAGGGAAACCGATGAAGCTGTTCTTGGTGCCCTTGCTACCCTTTTGCAGGATGAAATTTGGGAAATGGAAGTAATTACATGGCCAAAAAGTCAGGTGTTCAAGCCATTTTGAGAGTTCTGGAATTGGGGAATGTAAAGGCTCAAGAGAAAACACTGTGGATGTTGGAAAGGATTTTTAGAGTTGAAGATCATAGAGTAGAATATGGTGAATCAGCTCAGGTCCTGCTCATTGATCTTGCACAGAAGGGTGATCCTCATTTGAAATCGAAAACTGCAAAGTTATTGGCACAACTCGAGCTCTTGCAGCTTCAATCCAGTTACTTTTGATAGTTTTTCACATCGAGTAAGCAAGATTTTTCAACCATATTTTGTGTATTATGTCATATCAAATTGTTTTGTCAATCATTTATGATTTATATCTTCTGGTTCAGCTTTGTATTGAGGGCTAATAAGAGCATGCAAGACAATTTTGCGTATGGATGTAAATAGAAGCAATGAAATTGAGGATGCACTTGAATTAGTTTTGATATCAAACTTGAGGGCAGTTACTTTATTCAAATAATGTTAATTTTATTTTGATCGTCAAGGCATAAGAAAGAAATGACGAATGTGGTAAATGCCATTTTTTTTTGTAATGGACAATCGTCCCAACCAAGCAGTCGTTGGACTTTATAACTGCAGCGTGAAACCTTAGATTCAAGTAGTCACCCACAAAACACTCTCAGCAGTTAAAACACGGTTTTTATAAAGTTAAAAGATTCAGACTCAGGACATGAGCGTTTACCTCTCGCCTCTTGTTCAACAGTAAATGTATTTTCTTTCTACTCATTTTGTTGTCTTGGGGAAAGACTGATGGGATTGTTACTGTATAAAAATGTTTCATCCTGCCTCCCCTGGTGGTTTCTTTTCTTTTTTTTTTTCTTTTTCACAAGACAAAACAGTTACCTCTATTTATTTCATTTGTCTTTATTGCAACAAGAGACAAAAAGGTAAGGAAAAACTATTGTACTAATTATGTTGTTTGGTTTTCTTATATGAGACCTACAAATATAAAGATCGTATACAGTGTACGAGACTTCAGTCATTGCAAAATTTGGAGGGCTCAATTATTGGCATAGAAATGTTTCATCTTGACTTTCCTGGTGGTTGTGTTTTTTTTTTCACAAGACAAAACAGTTAACTCTTTTTATTTTCATTTGTCTTTATTGCAATTTTATCTGAGACCTACAAATATAAGTATAAGAAAATTACTCTCCCTTTGGTCTTATATATGAAACTATGGTTCAAAGTATTGGCCGATACCAATACAAGTCGGCCGACTCTTATCCATCTCAGCATCTTTCGAGACAATTTCGCTACACAATATGTAAAAACTCTGAATCTCGCATGACTTGACTAAGACGTCTAAGTTGTATCCAAGTCAAACTCGAGTCCTTGAGTTATCGTCACCAAATCGGTCGATATGGTTCTGTGACACTACGATATGACCTAAATTTTTTGTCATGTTCAACATTTTCTTTCAGGTCGTATCATCTAATACCGTACCGCGACGCCGTAGTCTCAGAGTCCTCTGAGTCGATGGCCGACGCGACCTTAAACTACGTATCAAACTCTATCATTTTTTAAAGTTTAGGCCATAAAAGCAAAGGGAAAAAAGAAAAGATAGATCTTTAGCTTTTTATTTCTTTTATTTTCTAAATTAAAAAAAGACAAACAGTGAGAGATAAAGGATTGGATCATGAAATGCTTTAACTGATAAAAAAATTGAAAGAAAAAGGAGGTTCTTGAAATAATAAACATGTCATAAAAGTAAAGTGAAATCTTCCAACTTTGGAGATTGGTCGGTGGTTGTGAAGCTTCTACCAGATGAAAGGAATAAAGACTATAATAAAGAAATCAAAAGGTGACAAAGCAAATCTGAAACTCTAAAACTTTTTGTAGTTAGATTTCCTATATATACCTGTCGGTTGTTGGTCTATTCAAATAAATTTCATAAAATATGTGATAAATGAGAAAGAATTCTAACAGTATGGCTATGTTCATACCAAGAGGACTTTGTGATTAAAGTCCCTATCAAGGGAAATGACATTATGTGTGTGTGTGTGTTTTTTAACCAAGTAATCCATGGGAGCAAAGGTGAGATTTGCCTACAAGTTGAAATTTATTTAAGTTATGTGCCATTAGTGATTTTATAAATTAGTTTTTTTTAATCGAGAAAGTAATTTCATTCAAAAAATAACAAAATTCTCTTGGGTGCGTCCAAACGGAAGTTTTGTGTTCGGACGAACGTAACTTTTTGTTCAACACGTGCATTCCACCAAAAGTGTATTCTTTGGTCTTCTTGTGTTTTAATACAACCCTTATCACTCCCCTTAAGTCTTCTTGAGATTTATTACAATAACCATCAAATCATCTTTATTCAAACTACTACGGTGATGTTTAGATAGTGGGTTAAAGGTGGTTATCTACTAGTTGGATGGGATAAAATAGGCATGGGCCAGATAACCTTTGTTTGAAAAACCTTTTTTGAGATTGGATACAAATCCCGGGTCAAGGCTCGACTCGGTTTCTACAGTACCAGTAAACCCCCCTAGGCTACACTTAACCCACCCCTCCCATGGGTTACAAACCCAAGCAAGAGGATAACCCATGGAAGACATAGTTGCCCCTCCTCTCTTCCCCTCTCTCTTCTCCTGTCAATAAGAGCGTGAAGGAGTTGAGCTCGTTCCATTGGAGGCTGAGCTCGTCCAAGGCTCAAATCTGGGTATGTTCGAGTAGGACTCTTAGTTGAACGAAACCCTTGTTTGGGATTCCATATACGATCTAGAATTGAAGGAAGCATTGAATTGTGGTGGTGGTGGTGACGTTTCTATTGCAGGGGAGAAAGATGGGAGTGGAGGTGGTGGTGGTGGGACAGATGGGGCGGTGAGTTCTAGTGGCGGTGGTGGTGGGGTTTAATGGTGGTGGTGGGATATATATGGGAGGTGCAGACCATCAATGGCAGACGGATGGTTCTAGGGAGAATGCTTCTGATTCTATTGCAGACCATCAATGGCAGACGAATGCTTATGGGAATGAGGGATTTATCTAGGAAAAATTATACTTAGATCCCCCAAAATTTGTCATTTAATTATTCAAATCCCTGATATTTAAAATATTAAACACAAATTCCCTCAAGTTTATACGCGCATTATACTTAGACTCCTCAAGATTAATATATTCGTTCGTTAATAAATTACACGTAAATCCCTTATTGGTTCAAAAGAGTAGGACATTGATCAAACGTTTGCTTATCTTTGCCTTAAAGTGTCTATATTTCCTCCACGTGGAGAAAAACTGCGAGCTTTCACTTTCTACTTATTTCTTAGTTAATTACTCATTCGTCGGTTGTTGTGAGAACGAATTAATCTTATAATTTGTTGTCACAACTGATCACGAACTATATTGAGTTAACTTAACCTAGAAAAATACTATCACCGCGTAAGGTAGTCTAATAGTGGTAACGATTTACTCTTTATTTAGAGGTTGAAAGTTTGAATTCTGGAGTTCTCATTAGGGTTCGGTGGTTAGCCGTTATGCTAGTCTAGTTAGATCTGGTTCTAAAAGTATTTCAAGCACTGTCTGAGGCCTTATGATCCCATCGGTGAGTGTCTAACGGGATAGTCGTTGAGTGCTCTTCCTTATCTCCACCCCCTTCCTTTAATTATCAAAAAAAAAAAAACCTAGAAAAATGTTCAAATAAAGAAACTTTGGTAACAATCTCTAACCATTATCTTGAAACAAATGTTATCCAGGAGGTCAACAGTTTTGTTGAAAAAGTTTGACCTTTAGGTTCCATTTTAAAAAAAAGAATCAAATTTTTACATATCATAAATAGTTTATGTAAAAAAAATTAAATTCATAAATAATTTAAACTCTACAAAAAAATCTTATAAAAACACAAGCCCAATTAAAAAAAATAAAAATTTAAGGCTTCACTTCACGAAATGTCTCATACTTTATAGTGTGTAGTAATAATTCAAATAAAAAATTTAAATTCATGTTTAAACAAAAGATTTCAACTTAAATGAATTTGAACTATTAATTCAGCAGTAAAAATACCCTAAAATTTAATTTTTAAACCAAAAAATTTATTATTAATATGAAAAATAAAAAAAAATCTCATTTATTATTTTCACTTTAAACCCCAAAATGTTTTGGGCTGCCTGGACTTTTGAAACGATGGGGTAACCATCGATAACGTCAGCAGTTGAGCTGTCAAACCTAAACTTTCCAAATAAGGGTAAAACCATCATAAAAATAAGCGGTTGTTAGTTAACTGGACCACACGTCTGATAAGTTTCACCACAGTGGGGGTTAAACCTTTACAACTAATGCGCCTGGAGACAATGACTTGTGGGGTATAAAATTTGTCTTTTTCAACAATGCTCACAAGATTTTTATTTTGGGTTCCAATGGACAAGTTCATACTCGAATCCTTCTCAGAAGGTGAAGGTAGGTTGGCGGCGTATAGAGGGATCGATCGTATCGGATTAAACGGATAGCAGTGGAAAAATATATAAATTTATATACGACATATTTAATAAACGAGTAAAAAATTTTAACACGAATACGACTCATTTAATAAACGGATAACACGTCACGACTCGTTTAACCCGTTTAATTTTAAAAAGTTTATATCAACAAATTTTAATACTCCACCTTTTTTTACTGTCAATTTCACTTACCTCAAAAAAGAGAAATTTTTAGTCAAATCTCATAAAAATAAGACTTGAAAGTTTAAAAAAAAAACCAAGAGACCATTGTTTTTTATAGGCAACTCAACCCTCCTCATCTCCCCTCATTTTCTAATGTAAGACAAAAACAAAAGACATTGATTTGTTTTTGTCTTTGAAATACTCCTCATCTCCTCTCCTTTGTTTTTGAACTACTACTACTTTACTTTTTTTTTATTGATTTTTTTACTTCTTTTTTTCTTGTTAATTTTTTAAAATAATTATTAATTTATAATTATATTAATTTTCTTTAAACGGATAAACGTGTGATAAACTGTTTGACAGGTCTTACACGAATACGACCAGTTTATTAAACGTGTTTGGCGTGTCAATCCGTTTATTACCCAAATCCGCTTAATTCGTGTCGATTCTTGTCAGTTAATCGTGTTGTGTTGAATTTTGCGGTATGCTCATAACGGGATTCCCTCCGATCAACTGTCTTTACGTATTTACTCGGCTGTTAACCCGCACACATGCCAGATTTTTTGATCCGTCTTTCAAGTCGGGTTGAATGGGGAGCCCACAGGTTAATTCGATCAACCATTCGCTTGGCCCATTAAGCCCAACCCACAGAGAAAGAGTCCTAAACGCCGTCGTCGCGTTTTTAACCTAAAACCCCAGCTCCCTTCTCTCTGTGTCTCTCCCTTTCTGTAACTCTGCCAGCACCTTTCATACTGTAACACACTCTCTCTCTCTCTCGGCGGAGCTCATATAGGGTTTTGTTGTTTGAATCAGAGCAATGTTGAGGAGGAACATAAGATTGAGGAGAGAGTACCTATACAGGAAGAGCTTGGAGGGCAAAGAGCGTTTGCTTTACGAGAAGAAGCGCAAAATCAAGGAAGCCTTAGAAGGTATCTTTTTTATTTTCTTGTTTAATTTTGTTTTTTTCTGTTCCAGTTATTCATTCTGGATTACTAGAATAGATTTTGGTTTTATTTTTTGTTACAGAGGGGAAACCAATCCCCACCGAGCTCAGAAACGAAGAAGCAGCCCTTCGCCAAGAAATCGACCTTGAGGATGAACACACTGCTAGTATGACTCTGACTCTGTGTGTGTGTGTGTAATATTAACTGAATTTCGGGTGATTTGCTTTTGGGTTGTTAGTTTGAAAGGTTTTGTTTCGTTACTGTGAATAGTTAGTGAAACGAGGGGTTGCAGCTGGGAAGGTGATTTGGGATTTAATGCTGTGTGATTTAATTGCACCAGTGTTCCAGTATTGAGAATTATTGGAGAGCCAACATGGTTGCAATTGGAGCTGCTCAAATGTTAAGAAATTTTGTTTGTCTTGTTGATGTTCACCATATTGTTTTGGTTCTGCTTGCTTAGTATTTAGTAGTGTACGCAGGTGAGAGATTGGGTGTGAACTAAATGCTGATGCATGCACTCTCCATTTGCTGGGTTTACATTTACTGTAAAATTACATGCGAAAATAAGTTTTTTCATTGCTATGTAGTGTTTGTTTCTTTCTCAAACCCAGTTTGATTTAATCTACATATTTTATTTGGTAGTAACTTAATTAATTTTTATCTTTGTTTTCTTTTCTTTCTGTGTGAACTGTGATTTGTTTTGTTATTGGGATAGTTTCTTTCCCTTGGTATGAATGGAAGTTGTGTTTGTCATAATAAGTGATATCTGGTTTTATTTTCACTGCTTATGGTAGTTCCAAGGTCAACAATCGATGATGAGTATGCAAATGCAACAGAAAGAGACCCTAAAATTTTGCTAACCACATCCCGCAACCCGAGTGCTCCTCTTACACAGTTTGTAAAGGTTAGTTTGTCCTTATTTATTCCAAATTTTACTTGTGTCCATTCTAACCTGGCTTTTGTCAACTTTTTTTTGTTTTGGCTTTATGCATGCGGTCTTTTGTGTTTAAGCAAGTGTGTTACAATTGGAGCCTTTTTGTATGCAGGAGCTGAAGATTGTATTCCCTAATGCACAACGAATGAACCGTGGTGGTCAGGTTGGTTAATTGTTGCGTGAATATGTGGGGGCATTTGCCTATCAGAATTTTTGACATTGTTTTGTAACTTTTCCTCCTAGTGCTTATAGTGTGGGGCATTGTGAGTTGATAAAAGATTATATTTTTTCTGCATGTTGATATACTGGCCTCATTTGCCCTTTTATTTGGTTCCAGCAATATGTATTCATGGTAATATGCAATTCAGAAATGAATTGTACAGTTGCTGTTTGAACTATAAATAACCAATCCAGCCTTCTAGAAGTTTGTTTCTTGCTTAATTAGCCGTAATGAACCTTTGAAGTTCTGATGGAGAGGAACTATTATCGATATGAGGATCAAAAGGTTTTTGTACATTGATCTTCGAAAAGTCAGGTGCCTAAAAGAATCTGTTCTATGTGTTTTGTGTTGTGTAAAGATTGGCCGTTTTACGTAAAAATTACTTCAGACTTTGTTACATCTAAGTATGCTGTAAGGATTGTGGAATTATTGTGTGATTAGTAATTTAAAACATGTCTTATTTTATAGTTGATATTATTTGTTTGACTTTTATATTTCCCATATCCTTTTGTTAGTTTTTCACACTTCTTGAAGAAAATTAACGTAACAGGATATGGAAATTT